TAAAATTGGATTTTTCTATAAAATTGGCATAGAAAAATAATGACTCAAATAATGCGAATATTTTAAACTTAGTTATGATCTAGTTCCGATTAAATCCTATACTAAAATTGCTAATGCAAACTGCAAGGGTATATAAACTTTGGCTTTCCAAAGTTACAATTCCTTCTTTTTGTTTTTTGGTGACCACTTTTGTGTAGCGTGTAGGCGTAAATCTAGTCAGGAAAAGCGATGAAAAACTAGGATAAAGGTAAACGGGGAAGAAGGGAATGAAAGCGGAAGTGGACATGTATACCTGGCAGAGGGACTTGGGGTAAGGTTAAAGGAATGTGCAACTATTATCCTAACGAGCAACAAGGTGCCACGCCCCGCTTTCAGCTTGTTTGCTGGCTTTGTGTTCCGTTCATTTGCCTGGCTTCCTTCCACCGCTCACTCAAGTCCTAGTCCTAGTCCTAGTCCTAACCAGGTCCTACTCCTACTCCTGACCAAGTCCTGCTCCTACTCCCACTCCTAACTAGCTCCTCCCCCCACTTCCGCTTTATTCCTGCAGCTACTTCCGCTTGTCCAGGACATTCTTATCAGCGTCGCACGTTTTTATCATAAATTTTACACTCTGCTTGCAATTTTTCCCTCGATTTTTGTGGGCAGCCTCTAAAAAAAATGAAAGAAAATCCAGAAAAAGAGGCGTCGCAAAAGGGGGTTGGACGCATAAAATGCCAGACGACACCATCATTGGATTTCCAACTGAAACTGAAGCTGAAGCTGATGCGGGGGCTCTTGTTGAGTTTTGTGTCCCATTAAAATACTTTATGAGGCGAAGGTTATGGCGACATTACGTAATTTTTGTGGAACAAGTGTTGGCCAAGCTGTGAGCTCCCCAATATCGTACCCATTCCCTCATTTATTGTTTATCAATTTTACGAGGACAGCTATAAAATCAGGGGAGTGAGAGAAATACCAAAGAAACTGGATTTCTAAAGGGGAAAAAAAAGAAAAATCGACACCAGAGAGATTTTTCAAGTGAATTTTTAGCTTGCTTTTGTTTAACATATATATTTTTAGGGCTTATTAATAGGATTATACTATATTTCGTACCTTAAAATATATTTTAAATATTAAATTGAATTCATTTGAATTTGAATTTATTTAATTTATATATTTTTTAGATTATAATAATAGGATATATTGTAAATATTCAATTTAATTAACAAAAAAAAAAAATCAACAGCTGAAAGTGCTTTTGTAGTTATGTTTTTGCTTAATTTTATTTATTATAAATATTTTTAGGGCATAACACAATGACTATAAAATGTTTCGTACCTTGAAAAATATATTAAATATTAAAAATAATTATACAAAAGTAAAATCAACAGCTGAAAGTATTTTTGAAGCTACGATTTTGTTTGAATTTATTTATTATGAATTATTATTATTATTATTATGATGTATTTTGTGCCTTTAAATATATTTAAGATATTAGATATAATTCTAAAAAAGTAATATTATCAGCTTAAAGTATTTTGAAAGTCAAGTTTTGTTTGAATTTATTTATTATATATAATATTATTATTATTAGATAATTTATCTTAAAACATATTTTAAATATTACATTTATTTTATAAACTGGATTTAAAGGCAGTTCTCATATTTATTTTACAAAATGCAAAAATATTTCCTCACAGTTCTCATTTCAAACTCCCCTTTAAATATTTAAATTGATAATTTCCTGTACTTAATTTGACTTTAAATCTTTAAAAATATACACTTCCTTTGAGCCTTACATATTTACACAACCACTCTGAGAGAGTAATGATTATTTTTCTGTATGTGTTTAAGTTCCTAGGCCCATTCCTTTTAGCTTTTCTCGGGATTTCTTTTTTTATCCATGGGGATTTATTTACACAGAAATCCCTTGCATGGCCATTATATTATTATTATAATTATTATTTTTATTATTGAAAGAGCTACGCCTTAACTCAACTCGACTCACCCGTTGATTGGCATAATGACGATGATTATTGGCCCACTTCACGGCCTGGCGATGAAAAGGGCCAACGTATACGCAACGTTGCGTATACGCCGCGTGTGCCGCTTTTGCAGCGTTTGCCACTTGCAATGATCATTGCTGCCGCTGCTGTTGCTGCAACGGACACTTGTGCAAATGAAGTGTGTACACAAAGTATCATTCACGCTATCATTGACACCAAACAAGGGGTGGGTGGGGGGATGATCGGGGGGAGGGAGTGGGAAAATTCCGCCGGGGTAAAGTGCCACAGTATCGCTGTTTCAGTGGCCAAGAGCGGCGCGCGAAAAAACAAGTTTGTTAACGCAGTCAAAAGTTGTTTTCCCCATTTTTATTTTCTTTTTTTTCCTGTGGCTTCTCCGTAAAATAAAATTTATTTTTTTCGATTAAAACACACATGTGTGGTGCGTGTGTGTGCTTTTCGGATTATTCATTCGCATTCATTCATATGCAGCACATTAAAAGGTTCTTATTGATTTTATTTTTGCAAGTTTCTCGGGGAAATTAACGCAAGCGAAATTTATGATTATGCCGAGGCGAACCAAGAGGCGCCAGAGCGGAGAGGCACGTTGCTACAGGGTACAGTGGGTACTCTAGATGAGTAACTTGAATAAAAATATAACACATAATATAAATATATATAATATTAATATATACAATATAAATATATCTAATAAAATATATATTTAATAAAGTATACATAATATAAATATTAAAAAAGCTTTTAAAGTAATTTTTAATATTTTTTAAGACTAAAATAACAATTTTTTAAAATTTATTTTGCTCTGCCATAGGAAAGATTTGTGTAACGATTTATGAATATATTTAGTTATTTGTTTACTTTACTTTAGTATTACCTATTTTATGTTTTATTTTTGCTATGTATATTTTCTTAATTTTTTTCTTATACTTACCTCTGCAAGGGTATTATAATTTTAGTCGAAAGCCAAAAACTAAGTGAAGGAGTCACTTGCGACCCTATGAATCATATATATTCTTGATCAGCATTAAAAAGAGAATCGATTAAGCTAAATGAGGCAAACAAAAATTTTTTTTTTAATTTTATAATTTTATCAGGGTTAAAAATACAGAAATAATTGAAAAAAATTCAATTTCTTTACATTTTAAATAGAGTATGCAGATTTATTAACCTGATAAAAACTAACATAGAACTGCTTTCCGAATCAAAATGTATGCTTTTTGGCTGAGTTATGAGTTTTTTAAACTTTGATATTTAGAAAAACTTGTCATTTAAAAATATAGTTAATATCGATTAAAAAATGGTATTATAATCTTAGTCAGAAGCTTAAAACTTAGTGAAGGTGTAATTTCTGACCCTATAAATCTTATTCTTATTCTTATTCTTGATCAGCATTAAACGGAGCATCGATCTAGGTATTTTCGGAAAGAAATAATTTTTTTCAAAAATTTTCAAATTTTATTGACATAAAATATATTAAATTTATTAACTTCAGTTTTTTAAGGTTTAAATTTAGTTTATAGATTTATTAACCTAATAAAAACTTTTATAGGTCCGCTTTCCGAATTAAAATTACTGCTTTTTTGGCTGAGTGATGAGTTTTTTAAATAAGATATGTTGAAGAAAGAAATAAGTCATATAAAAATATCAATAATTATTGTTCATTTTCTGTTGATTGTTGATTTAGTCTTTCTGGTACACTCTAACGAGTCTTCACTGTTTATTATCCATCTGCTTCTTTGCCTCGCCCCCCTTTATGAGCCGCAGCAAAGTGCAATTTTTGCGGCAACTGTTATTGCATTTGATATTAAAAAATAGCAGCTCATCGGCATCATTAGCATCATCATCGTGAGCGTAGATCATCGTCATCATCATCCTCATCATCATCATCATCCTCGGCATTTAATTGAAAAGTGAAATTGATTTCCTCGCCGTCTTCTCTCATCTCTTTCTTGTTGTTTGCCTCTCCTACTTCTTCTTACACTTTTCCAGCAAAAAGAAAATTGTTTTGTTTTGTTGCGTTGCGTTTCTTCTGTGCATTAATTATGGGAAATTATATTTTTGATTTTTGCACGCAGCAGACATTGCTTATATTTTCGTTGTTTTTGCTTTTGTTATTATTGATGTTATTTTGAGAAAAAGGATGGAGAGCATACAGCTCATTATTTGCCATTTTCTTTTGTTTTAATTGCTGCTGGATTTTTCTCGTTGTGCGTTTGTGGCCACAATTATTTCCATGGAATATTAAAATGATACATTCCATCCACAGCACTCCCCACTTCTCTCCTTTCATTTCTTTTATTGTTATTGTGCTTAAAAATTCCATTAACTTGCACACAGCTATCTATGATTTTTTTAAAGCAAATTAGAGTGGTTTGTTGGAAATTGTGATATGAAGTTGGGGGACTTAGTTAAAATTCTATGTATACTATATATTTTAGGGAATGAAAAGTTTACAGTTTGAAATATATTTAAAACTCCTCAATTATCCCAAAAATAATGTAGATAATTTCTTCGTTTTTTTGCTGACTTATGGGAAAATCTTTATTAATTGCTTTAAAAATCCTTGTTCTCACATTACTTAATCAAAACTATTAAATACTCAAAACTTAACCAAGTACAATCCACTGAAAACCACTTTAATAGACGGTTTTCTCCCAAAAGGGGGGTTTGGCATATCGAATGGCAAGCACTAAACAAACTATTTGCCATTTTCCCCCAACCCACACACACACACACAGACATATACTTATGTCAGACACTTGAGAACAAGTTGGAATTTATTTGCACTTTTCCTTCATGTTTTTCTTACAGTGGCAGAGCCGAAACTTGCAACTGGTTGGAGTAAAAATAGCGCAAAAAGCAAGGAAGAAGGCAACCAAAGTGTTGCATACTTGGCAGCCAAAGAATAGAGTGAAGCGGAAACGGATATATATACCGTACCCAACTCCTGTCTCTCTATATATATAATATATATCTATATATATATATATTTATATATATACTGGCAAGATGCCGTCGCCAGCAATAAATAAAACAGGACGCAGTGTTGCCAATACGCTGCAACTCCTGGCAATCGCTCTCTCCTGCTGCTGTCTGCTGGTGAATGGCCAACAGCAGCAACAGCAACAGCAGCAGCAGCAGCAACACTTGAAGTACCAGCAATTGCAATATCAAATGCAGCAGCAATATGAATACCAGCAGCAGCAGCACTATCAGCAGCAATTCCAACAGCAGCAGCAACAGCAACAGCAGCAACATCAACAGCAGCAGCAGCAATTGACACCCACAGCAGCATTGGTACAGCAGCAGCAACAAAAGCAGCAACATGAGGAGCAAATCGACCTGCTGTCCACTCAGCCAACTCAGGTGAGCGATAATCACCGACAAGCAATCACAATTTATAACAATTATTATAGCTGCACGGGGAAAAATTAGTTAGAAGAAACATTTGTCATAAATATTTCAAATTTAAACCATTTCCTTTTGAATAGATATAATTTGAGGCAATTGAAGAGAAGCATCTTAAAAATCTATAGTACTTAAGGTTAAAGTATAGCTAGAAAGTAATAGTATTCATTGATGAATTTCAGAAGAATTGATCTAATTTTCCCTAAAGGTTTTAATAGAGATGAAAAACATAGATAGTAATAAATTTACTACTGATTTATTGTTGATACTTTGGTGACAAAAATATCGAACATTTGCAATCCTTTAAAGTAATATTCATAATATATATTTCTTAGTCTTCTTTCTGATATTTTATGGCATCAAGTTGGGTTGTTTTTAAAGAAATTATTATAATATTATATTTATTTTATAAAGATCCATTGCCAAATAATATAATAATTATGTTATTAGGCAAACTGATTTTTCTAAAGTAAATATTATTATTATAATAACATAATATAATATATCATTTATAATTATATAATTTTAATTATTAAAATAATTATTATGATATTATTATAATTATTGTAATCAATATTATGATATTATTTGAATTATTAAAATAATTATTATGATATTATTATAATTATAAAACCATATTAGGCTCTTTATAACCGAAATTTTCTTTTCAAATAATTAAATACTGAAAACAATCGTATTTTCTCAAGCAAAAAGTATTCAAATCTATTTTATTATGATATTATCATGATCATGATATTATTTTAATTATTAAAATATTTTTTATGATATTATTATATTTCTCAAAATATATTAGGCCTTTTAAAACCTGAATTTTCTCTTCAAATAATTAATTACCGAAAACAGTCATACTGCCTCAGACAAAGAGTATGCAAATCTTTTTTGTTATGATATTATTAATTTAATTATTAAAATAATCATCATGATATTATTATATTTCTCAAAATATATTAGTCCTTTTAAAACCTGAATTTTCTTTTCAAATATTTAAATATTAAAAATTATCATATTTCTCGGAAAAAAAGGTAATCAAATCAACATTATTATAATTATTATTGATACTGATATTGATACTGGTATTATTTTTTTTGTTCTGTGTGAATCCCTGACCTGGCGCTTTATCCCGAAAATAAACCCAGCTCATTGTGTAATTAATTGAACTTTGGGAGCTGCCAGAGTTGCCGCAGCTGCTGCTGCTGGTGCTGGTGCTCTGCACATCTGACTCTGGTTGGCAAATTGAATTTGATTTTGTTGAGCTCCCAGTTTTCCAGTTGCCAGTTCACAGCTCCCAGCTCCCAGCTGCCAGTTGGCAGTTCTCGGGGAGAGGAACAGTAGCAGCTGCAACTGCTTAAAAACCAAATCCCCAATTGCCAACTTTTCGTTTTTCCAGCAGCAGCGGCAGTACGGCCAGCTTTTGTGGATTGGCCCACAGCCAGTGAACCTCAAGTTCAATAAGCTGATTAACTGAATGAAATCAGCAATGAAAATGAAATAGAAAGTGCCTGCTCCGGCTTTTTGGCTTGGCTTTTCTTTTCTTTTCCTTTTCCTTTTCCTTTTTTATTTTTTGTGTGCTCTCTCGAGGCAACCGCAGGTTCTTAGCAATTTGCGGCTGTTAAATGATTAATTTGCTTTTGATAGACTTTAAGTTATATTTAATTAGCAGTGGGGCTTAAAAAGAACGAAAGGAAATGGCAAAAGAAAATAAATGAAATTTTCCCTTTGGGAAATAAATAGAGAAAAAGTATTCCTTAGAGTGGAAGTTATCCAAGTTGGCAGCCAGATAATCTGGCAACCTTTTGTGGCATACTTCTTTTTAAGAATTTATATTAATTAGCACAGATCTTGCATTATTTATTATTATTTGAAATATATATTGGTGATATGAAATGTCTGTTTTCATACCACTTATAAAACTATTTTCACACTTTAAGCCTCAAAAGGCAGCCTCTATTTTCTCTCCGCTTTATATATTGACCTGGCAACCCTATCAGCAATTTGCAGCAATCAAAAAACAAACCAAAAACAAAATAAAAGGAGAAGGGGAAGAAATATTCCGACACCTTTGCTGCTCACACACATTTCGAAGTCACACATTTCGTAGGAGAGTCTCTCCACTTGTGCTTGGAGTAGCGGGTGACAACCCTGGTCGTGGCAAGCCTGTTAATTTCACACACGATTTGCTGCTTAGTTTTTGCACTTTCCATCCGCACTCCTGTCACTGACTTTTCACACAGCCTTCGTTCATCCTTCTTGCTCCTCCTCTTGGAATTTTCCTTTTTCCTTTATTTTTTTTGTCTGACAAAAGGCGTGTCGAGCTTTTGTCAGGGGCCAAAAACCACCAAGTTCCACCAAAAGCCCCCACCTAACCATCACCTCGCTCCACCTCCCCGAAAATCTCATCCTGAAAAAGCAGAAAGAGAGAGAGAGCTCTAAACCAACTTTTGCAGGACAAAACGTGGCAGCGTTTTGTAGATTTTTAAGTCCCATAAATTTTAAGTGTCAATATATAAACCGCATATGTGCGGGGCCAACAATGGATGCGCCACATGCGGAGGCGGGGCAAGTGGCGAAACAGCGAACAGCGAACATTTCTGGGAGGGATCGGTTGCGGCCAGGGGCGGATCGTCCAGGGGGGTTTGGCCAGCGGTGCCAGCGGCGAGTCGAAATTCATAAATTTAAGCGTGAAACGAAACGAAATGGTAAAATAAAATGCAACCAGCTGAAGCAAAGGCACGAGCGAATGCTCTCTCTCTCTCTTTCTGGTGATGGGATTTTCTCTGGGAAATATATTATAGAAATTATATAAGGTATTGGAAAAGTTATAACAATACTTTGTATTAAACTAAAAGCGGAGAAATCGCAATAATTATTGCCAAAGAAATGAAAAATGTATTAATAAAGCATTTATCTTAAAGCAATTTTATAAAGCAATTCCATAGGAACTTTCTACAGCGTTTTGTGATCACTTTTTAAAGCATATTTTAAGTATATTTTGAAACACATCCCGAAACAATTTGAAACAAACAGTCCTATTTATTGAATGGTTGTGGGAGACGCTTTTGTTTCAGTATTCACTCCATTTTAACAATTCTTAAAACTGTTTTACTTGTGGGCTTAAAATCGAATTTTGTTGAATTTGTTTTTAGTTTTGGTGGGTTTTTAAAGTAATAATTGCAGATCCTTTTGGTGGGGTTTTTAAAATGTTTTTCAAACGGCTTTTGTTGAGTTTTTGAAGCTGTTTTTAAAAAGAGATTTTAGAGGGACTTTTTAAGTATTTTTATGCAGTTTCTGCAAGGTTTTTAAGACCACTTTGGGGAGGTTTCTCGAACAGAGATTTATTATATTTCCAAAATTATTTAAGTTAAAATATTTAGTTGCGTTGCTATTTTCTGCCTTTCTTTTTCAAATTTCCAATGGTCCTGACCCAAAACTATCGTTGCCATTGCTAAATCCTCACGAATCAGGGCTTTCGTGTCACGCCACCATCCCCAAGGAGCGACACATAAATTATATGAATGAGGTTTTTGCTTTATAGTTGCGCGTTCCGTGTCTGTGGCCGAGGGCCGTGGTGGCCATTCCGGGCCAAGCAACCAGCAGCTCCTCTTGGCCTCTCCCTGGACATGCTACTACGTCCTGACCATTGCCGGCACTCTAATCCCCCCGTCTGGGGCCTTGTGTGGCTTTTATTTTATTGCAAACTTCAAATAAAAACAGCAGCAGCAACGGCACCAGCTCCAACCAAAAAGTTGTTAAAAAGAAAAACAAAAAAACAAAAAACGGGTCGAGGAAAAGTGGAAATATTTTGTATGGAATAAAACACAGCAGCAGCAGCAGCAGCAGCAGGATCAACAATATGAAGGGGAAGCCCCGAACTCTGAGCATACAGTGTGACCAAATAGTAAACCGAGACGGGGACCCAGGACGAGACGAGGCGGTGGGGGGTAGGGGCAATCAAATCAATTTGGTCTGCCAATCGAGAGTCCACCGAGCCATGACCACCACCAGATCCACCAGCACCACCAGCTCCACCACCAGCGTCGCATCAAAATCGCATGGAGTTCAAAGTGCGGCGTTTAATAATCGATGGGTTCATCAATCAGCCTAGGCTTCATTTTTCACAGCTGTGGGAAAAGAATGAGTTGACACTAAAGTCCGAGTACCAACAGTCATTAAATTCAATAAAACTATTGATTTTGGTCATGTTTTTAGCTGGAAAAGAGGCCTAGCAAAAAAGGGTTTCAAGTGTTTTTTTTATTTCTTTGTTAAAGCTTTTAAAAAATAATGTTCAAGGTTATTTCAAAGGGTTAATGCTTATAGAAAAAAATGAAACGTTTTTTATAATAAGGTTTTGCTTATAAAAAATATATTCAGGGTTTTTCTTAAATAGTTACTGCTAAATCAAGGTTGTTTTAAAATGTTTTGTGCCTATGAAAAATGTTGAATTATTGTTAAATGATTTACTTTTCGGTGAATGCCATATTTCAATTAAAACAACTATAAAATATTTTTAAATAGTTCTATATACACAAAAATTAATGAATCTTATAAGTTAATTTATTGAAACATTCAAAATAATTTTATTTAAATTATTTTAAGGGAAAACTTTACAAATATATAATATATATAGTTCAAAAATATGGCGTGTATCACTATATTATTCTTAAAATTAAAAAACAAAAGCACAGCTAATTAGATACATTTTTTAAAGCTTTTTATCCATCTTATTTATTTATTATATTATTCCCCATGTTATTTAATTTACTACAAATATAAATACACATTACTACAAATGTATTAACAATTAAAACTTCTCAAGTAGTCCTAGGAACTTATATATTTTCAATGCAATCAGTGTTTAAAAATATAAAAAAATTAGTCTAGAAAGTTCGAACAAATTTATTCAATTCAGTTATCAATAGTTAAATCCTTGACAATTAATA